CAGCCTCTATTTGTCTAACATTTAGTCACTGTTAATTGTTAAAGTAAACTGCAGTTCATAATATTTAAATTGTTCTCTAAAGACGAAGAAATCTCTTTACAGTACATTTTAATATTATCAAAATCGCCTGTTGGAACGAAGAAATCTTCCTGCATTGCAATTAAAGATTGATTTGAGCGATGTTCCTCTTATCATCTTTTAAAGGCCTTATCTGATAGTATCGCTAGATTGAAGTCATTGCGTATTCCAATTTCATTAACTAGACGATCTCACTCCCATAGGTTTAACCATTAGAATAGCTATCTAATGCGTGCTTAATGCAGATCTGATCATAAGAACACTGTGAGCCAGTAGACTGATTGGAATGTAAATGGGAGCTTTTAAAACCTTGATCAAGCGAAATTTGCATAACAACAGCGAAGAAACCCTGTTGTTCATAATTTTTATTTGTGTACTGGCAGCGAAGAAATCCTGCCACACACATCATTGTGCAGTTAAGTTGCACAAATTGTAGAATCTGTTGGGATTTGACTCTCAGTGTTCTTGTGATAACTGCAGTAAATTCCGTTAGAATGAGAGTAGTCTCACACTAAACGCTATTAGTTTAAGCACGATTGGAGTTCAGGCACAGTACCTCAAACTAAAACTAGAGGGCAGGCTGTTTAAGTATCTAACACTTCTTGAACTCCTTCTAACTCCCTGATTTCACCTTGTGTGGGCGCACCCACTCCCCCTTGTGGGCATTCTCTGCTAGGTCGACTTTGTACTCCAATTTCTTTTTTTTTTATTTCCCTTCTGCTTCGTTAGTCATTATGATTCTAGCCATTCTAGTTACCTGCCGTTTTATTGATTTTTTTTATTGATTTGTATTTTTATTATATATTTTTTTTCCATTTCAGTATTATTATATATATTTTTTTACTTTATTATCTATTATTACTTTTATAATTTTTGTTTGTTTTGTTCCCTTTTTTAATGTTTTTTTTTATTATTTAGTTTTTCATCAGGTTTCTCTACCCCCTCTTCTCTCTCACTTTACCACTCACTTATTTAAATTTAGTTTAAACAGTGTTTGAATTCAAATTTAAAGTTAATTTCTGTATTCTAGCCATTTTTGTTCACCTATAGGTAACACTCCCTCTAGTGCTTAGTTGGTGAAGTGACAGTTGCCTCCACGGCGGATCGCAGTGAGCTGCCACGGGATCCAGACTGAATCACCTCAATCCATCACTAAGCCTAGCCCATTAGAATACTGACCCATTCAGCTAGAGAAACCCCAAAATCAGGTTGCTCCTCAATCTTTAAGGTAATTAGCCGCTCCTGCTATCCAAGCAAGGCTGCCACACTAGATGTTATGACCCAGCAGCACCCTCTACTCGGTAGGCCCTGTCATAACCCCTAACAGCAGTAAAAGGCTTAAACCTGCTCTCTCCTCTATCTCTCTCTGTGTTTTGATTTGTTGGCTTATTTGTTTTTCATTTTGTTATGTTTTGTTTGCCTAGAGACCGAACCTTTGAGAATCATCAGGGAAGGCTGAGTAATAGATTGACGACCCAAGCTGCCAAAGTCTTTAGACGATCACGCTGTCAACAATCTTAGTTAGATCCTTTCCGGTGCCCCCCCAACACCTTGCCATTCACGGCCGAGATAACAGGTGTCTGGTCTACACTCCGCAAACTGTTTGTACTCCTCAAACAGACCGTGCATAGAACATATAATTACTATAATTGCAGCCTGCTAACACTGTAAGGACTTGCATTGGCCTTTTCGTGCTGTCCCTCTCTCCCTCTCTCCCTCTCTCTCTCTCTCTCCCTCTCTCTCTTCACCAGTGAGCCAGCATGTCTCGATCATCCAGCCCTGATGCCCACTGGGATCGACTAGAGTCCTGGCTGAGTGCCATAACTGGTACCCTCCTGTCTGAAGCAGCTGGCAGCCTGCAGCACCTGAGCCGGGAACAGCTCGACGACAACCTTAGCGCCCTGATGTCACACGATCCAACACAGGACTACAGCCACAAAGATCTCACCAAGATCATCGGGCCCCTCGCCCACAACCTCCTCGCTCAGGCAAAGCTGGGAGAAGCAAGCATCTCCCGCATGGAACAGGAAGCAGCAGCGCTGAAGCTCCAGGCTGAGGAGGCTCAGAGAAACCTGGTGCTTGCTCAAAGTCAACTGGACCAGCTAACGTCGGAGACTCAGCACCAGCACAGGACGGCGGATGAAAAGGACCCAGAGCTGCAGGAGGAAGTAGAGAGACTAGACAGCGGATGAAAAGGACCCAGAGCTGTAGGAGGAAGTAGAGAGACTCCAGAAAGCCTTAACTGATCTCCGTGTAGACACAGCACGCCGAGAGCAGTGGGAAAAGGACACCAGAGAGGACCTAAGTGAAAAACTCCAGCAAGCCGAGGCTCTCCTGATGAGACCAGAGACTGAACTCAAAGAGAGAGACGCCAGGGCCAAGGCCTGCGAAGGGTCAAAGTGGATTACCAGCAACTGCAGCAGGCTTTGATTAAGGAGTTCTCTGACCCAGAGTCAGAGCAAGGACTGATTACTGCCATGGACCTTAAACAGGGCAGACAGGAAACCACACAGGCTTACTACAACAGGCTCAGACAGGCCTACTTCGGAGCACGGAACGAGCCAGGAATGGAACAGGATTTCAACTTCAAAATTCTGTTCCTCCTCATCGAAAGGGGGGTGGCCAAAAAACTCTACCTGGCCATCAGATTGGAAAATGAGGTGAGACTGGAGGCCCTGGTGGACACTGGAGCTGACTCAAGTCAACTTTTTGACAGGCTTCAAAGTGAAGCCAAGGGACAGAATCAAACTCTTAAGTATCAGAGGTGTGTGCTGAATGTGCAATCCTACAGCCAAAATGAGGTCCAACTTGAACAGGTAGCTCCAATTCACCTGACCATCAGCCCTATGAGCTTAGTGCACCCTGTGTACATTTATCCATTGGACATATACCCTCTCCTCATTGGCAAAGACCTGCTAGACTGCTTTGAGCCATTGTTAGATTTTAAACAACTGAAAATCTGGGCTCAAGTGCGAGAACTTCTGCCTCCTCAGTCACCAAGATCACCCCAGA